CCTCTCCTCCTCCTCCTCCTCCTCCTCCCCCTCCTCTTCCTCCCCTCCTCCCCCCCCCCCCTCCTCCATTGTTTTTGGGTCTCAAACTCTCCAAATCATGAAATTGATCTTCACTGACACTTCCAATCTGTGTTAGAGCATCATTGGGAAGAGAGAGCCCCAGATTTGCTGGGGAATCACATATTTCTTACCGCTAGACATGCTGAAAAAGGACAACTGAAATGGCATTCCCACAATGCACCACTGGCTCCCCGATTTTTTTTATATGGTGCACACTGACCATGGAGACCCATTCTCTCACATGTGGGCCTACCAGCTTTCTCCTGCTTGATTTGAAGCTGCTAGAATTTATGCGTATAAATACGTCAGAAACATTGGCTCGTAAGACGTATTTATACGTCGGAAACAGTCAAAGGGTTAAGCATGAGTGCAAATAATTAACGTTGTATATGGAAGGACACAAAAACTCACCTCTACAAAAATATATACAGTAGGGCCCCACTTATACGGTGGGTTAGGTTCCAGGCTGTCGCCGGAAAGCAGACATCGCCGGAAGCAGAATGCCATTTTTTCCATTTATAAATGCATATAAATACCAGACAACAAGTTTACACTAAATTATATTAAGTTAGTAATAGAACCAGGCATTAAAAACACACAAAGAAAATACATTCACAGTAAATTCATTACTTATCTTAAAGTATTTGTAATCTTAATGTAGGGAGAGAGGTGAGTAGTACTTATTTGTAGGAAGTCAGGTGCAGGTAGCCCAGGTGTAGGTAGCACTTGGCTTCCGTCTCATACTTAATATCGATATTTAAAACATCCCAGAGGGGTAAAATTGCACATACAGTACATCATTATTTCCCTTTTAAAATTTTGTTAGTCTTAATATAGGAAGAGAGGTGAGTGTATTTATTTGTATAAAGTCAGTGTAGGTAGCGGTAGGTGTAGCCTGGGTTTACACCTACAGGCTAACTACACTGTGGCCAGAGCCATATTATTACATCGACATGCCTTGTTCACTGAATTTAATCATTCTAACAAGTACCTTTAGATGCCATCATAAGCGAAGGTAGAAGTAATGAATAATTCATGCCGAAAATTGTAAACAAAAGCAGAGTGAGGGAGTGGCTGGGCCAAACACAGATTCATACACGTTTTCTCTGATGGCTGAGCAGAGGGAAAAAGTAATGTTGTCCCTCCACCAGCTACCACACAGCTCCACAAGTATTATTATCAGAGCACACATAAAATATGCAATAAACACCAGACAACAAGTTTACACTAACTTATATTAAGTTAGCAATTGAAATGGGCATTAAAAACACAAGAAAAGGGAAGATACACACAGAGTACATTATTACTTACCTTAAAATATTAATATTTTAAAGTGTGAGAGGTGAGTGGGAGGGGGTTTATTGAATAAAATCAGAATGGCACACCATCATCCTCTAACTTGGCCTTAAAGCAAGAGGCTTTCGACTTCTCTTTTTATCACAGCTAACCTTAGACCCCATCATCAATGAGAGCCCAAATAGTTAACGAAAAAGTAAACGAGAGAGAGAACAAGATACAGAGTTGAGACAATGTAAGAACACAAATTGAACAGGTAGTGGACGATCACTTGGTCAGGCGAAATAAATGTGTATTAATAGTGTCTACTTTTAGTTCATTCCGTCCATTTGTAAGAGTTTGTAAAACATTTGCCTCAATATTTTTTTACTATAATAATAATTACCTCACAATACAAATATTCTTACATTGTGTACAAGTTAGTTCAGAATAAAACAAAAAAGCAACACACCATTTTTAGAGTGAATGAAGATAATAATATTAATAATAATAATAATAATAATTATTATTATTACTAATATTAATAATAATATTAATATTATTATTATTATTTATTATAAAAAGCACTAAACCCACAAGGGTCGTGAATTGCTATATATAGAGTAAAGGCATACAAAAGAATATTTTTCTACAGTTATCCGAGTTTGACTAGAGAAAACGTAATTCTTCCGACACTACCTACACAGCCGCTTTGTAAACAAATCTCATATTTACATCAATTTTTATTCTGGGAGTGTATGTATCATGTTTATATGCTATGTAATGGGTTTCATATATAATTTTGAGGAAAATTTTCATAGATGGATTAATAAAATGCTATATTGATGTAAAATAAGACATTTAGTGTGCCCAAGAGTATTATTATTACGTAGTATTGGCGTCACGAGTAGAGAGAGACTTAGCGATTTTAATGTGTACCTGCACACCAGCATAGTGTGTAAGTATATTTAAGTACAGGTACACTTGAGTATAATTATCAGAGTACATATAAAATATGCAGTAACTTTAAAACACTTGAAATTTTGGAAAGTTTCCTGACATAATAGATGAAGTCACGGAAAACGTAAACAAACCGGGTGGGGGGGGCGGCGTATTTGAAAGACTGCTTGCCCTATAGCAAATTTTGGTCATAATTTGACATCGCCGTATTAGCGGAACGCCATAAGGCGAAATGCCATAAGGCAAAACGCCGTAAAGCGGGGCCTTACTGTATAATATAATAATAATAGTAACTTACATACAACTTACAATCTACTCCAAAAAACCACCACACTCCAGCTCACCTAAACTCACTAGCACACTGCTACTAATGAGTTAAACAAAATAAATGACCATTTATGAACAGGGAGGCTCCATGACGCCCCTCGTTTCTGCAGGTTACATAGCCTACAGTGGAAATGTTAAATACTCTCCAAAACACAGGCCCCTGCATACTAGGGTTTTACAAATAAACATGAGAGCACCAGAAAATGCACAAAACAGAATGCACTAAAAACTTGCCAAAACTATCTACTCAAAGTACCACCTGAACATGATGACTTTACCCCGTGACCGCCCGTCTGGTACTGAACTAAACACCTCTCATCTGCTCCTGTCCTGGCCACTGCCTGACTGACAGGAATAAAACGCATTCGCTTACAAGGAATAATACACGTCCACTTTCCGGATGCTACACTGAAAATGACATATATGGAGCGTTATTTTATAAAATATTTTCCTGTAGCACACTGCATAACAACTTGTCTCTGTGATTCTTGTTGGTTCAGTTATAGATGGTAGTAGCAAGCAGCTGCTCATAGTGTTTGTGAAATCAGCTACCTGGGGGTCAGCTGTTTGGATGAGGCTTATATTTAAAGTCACCAGCAAGTAGCAGGTGATGTTTATTCATCTCTGAGTCAGTTATCATGTGTCTTAAGTTGAGGGACCCTTGCGTTTAAATTTAAAATAGATCTACATGACGGACAGTGACAGGGTTGAGGGTTAAATCCTAATGGTAGCAGTTGATAGTGTTGTAAGCTTGCATGCATGTTATTGTTAGTACAGTGGACCCCCGCATACCGTTGGCATCACATACCGTTTATTCCGCATACCGCTCACTTTAATCGCAAAAATTTTGCATCGCATACCGCTCAAAAACCGCTCACCGCTGTTCGTCCGGACGCGTCCAATGTGCGCCTTAGCCAGCCTCACATGTTCCGTGGTGGCATTGTTTACCAGCCAGCCTCTGCAGTAGCATCCAAGCATACAATCGTAACATTTCGTATTATTACAGTGTTTTTGGTGATTTTATCAGGAAAATAAGTGACCATGGGCCCCAAGAAAGCTTTTTAGTGCCAAACCTACAGCAATAAGGGTGAGAATTACTATAGAGATGAAAAAAAAGTCATTGATAAGTATGAAAGTGGAGTGCGTGTCTCCGAGCTGGCCAGGTTGTATAATAAACCCCCAAACAACCATCGCTACTATTGGTGGTACAGCTGCTGCTGCTGCACTGTCAGCGCTGCTGCTGCTGTAGCATCGTCTGCTGCTGCTGTAGCATCGTCTGCTGCTACTGTGCATCGTCTGCTGCTGCTGTAGCATGTCAGCTGCTGCTGCTGCTGTAGCATCGTCTGCTGCTGCTGTAGCATCGTTGTGTGCTTTTAGCATCGTCTGCTGCTGCTGTAGCACTGTTGTTGGTGTGGCTTATTGAGAATATACCAAGAAACAATTAAACCCCGAGGATTTGCCACCCAGGATTAACCCAAAAAGTCAGTGTCATCGAAGACTGTCTAACTTATTTCCATTGGGGTCCTTAATCTTGTCTCCCAGGATGCAACCCACACCAGTCGACTAACACCCAGGTGAACAGGGAAAAATGCCTGGAACTAGTGCTCATATTGGTGAATTTAAAGCCAGCAAAGGTTGGTTTGAGAGATTTAAGAATCGTAGTGACATACACAGTGTGATAAGGCATGTTCTGGAAGAAAATATCAAACAGGACCTACAGTACTCAGGAGGAAAAGGCACTCCCAGGACACAGTGTCTCATCAGTCATTGCTGCATCTTCAATAAAGGTAAGTGTCATTTATTCTTCATTTAGTAGACTAGTACATGCGCAATATATACTGTGCATGTACTACTCTACTATTGTGCATGTATCCTTCTCTTCGTGTGTAGGAAAATGTATATTTCACGTGGTAAAAATTTTTTTTTCATACTTTTGGGTGTCTTGCACGGATTAATTTGATTTCCGTTATTTCTTATGGGGAAAATTCATTCGCATACCGATTATTTCGCATACCAATGAGCCCTCTTGCACGGATTAAAATTGGTATGTGGGGGTCCACTGTATAACAGGGATTCCAGTGCTGTAAAAATGTACTTCTCTCTCAATCTAATGATATTCTTTAATGTAGTTACTCTCAGATTTTACATCATCATTGAGACTTATCATATATTCATAAGAATTCCTGTTTCACGTATAATTTTATGCAGGAATTATTTAATCTCACTGATGTACATTATAATGTGGCATTGCTTCATTAGCATCTTATTTAATTTCACTGGGAGCATGCATTTTTTTGTGAAAAATCTTCCACCCACCCAGCTTTATCAGTTTGATAGTGTTAAATTTATGTATATTAATTATTTTTGTTACACTTCAGAGAGGACATGTTCGAGCAAAGTTCTCTTTTGTACCCTGGCAGAGAGGATATGTTCAGGCGCAGCTTAGCTCAGCTTAGACAAGATATTATGAAGGCTAACACCTTGGTACGTGAGGCAAACATATTTGCTGATGAAATGGGCAGACAGACAACATTTGGGGTGACCCTACAAATTCCTCCACAGAATTTGTCTCCCAACCGGAAGAGATCTGCATTTGTTAGTGAACCAGCAATTCTACTCAAGAGGAAAGGAAAGCCAAACCAGGTATGATTATATTCTGTGGAAAAGATTAAGCTTCTGCAATTTATTTGACTGTCTTTTACATTTATGGCTCTTAACTGGTCTTCTACCATCCAGAATTGCCATTGTTTCTCCCACTTGCCAGTTTGGGTGGTGGTTAAAAAACAGCAAAAGAAAAAAAAATAGAAAACTGGGATCAGGTTTCCATTCAGTTGATTTAGCATTTGTATTTAAATTTTTTTTTTTTATCTCCATGGCTGTTTCCGGCCAGAACAAGGTGATACAGAGACAAAGACACCATCATTCATTCAGTCACTAGTGGTCTTCTTCAGAAGTGTGCTAACACTACAATTCAGCTTATCCTCCGACAACATCTCCACCCCTTCTACAAAGTGCAGACACTACCTATTCACCGCCAGGATTCAAGTCTGGCTAATCATTTCCCCCAATCCCTTCATAAATGTTACCTTGCTCACACTCCAAAAACATTTTTTTTTATTATCACACTGGCTGATTCCCACCAAGGCAGGGTGGCCCGAAAAAGAAAACTTTCACCATCATTCACTCCATCACTGTCTTGCCAGAAGGGTGCTTTACACTACAGTTTTTAAACTGCAACATTAACACCCCTCCTTCAGAGTGCAGGCACTGTACTTCCCATCTCCAGGACTCAAGTCCGGCCTGCCAGTTTCCCGAACCCCTTTATAAATGTTACTTTGCTCACACTCCAACAGCACGTCAAGTATTAAAAACCATTTGTCTCCATTCACTCCTATCAAACACGCTCACGCATGCCTGCTGGAAGTCCAAGCCCCTCGCACACAAAACCTCCTTTACCCCCTCCCTCCAACGTTTCCTAGGCCGACCCCTACCTCGCCTTCCTTCCACTACAGACTGATACACTCTTGAAGTCACTCTGTTTCACTCCATTCTTTCTACATGTCCGAACCACCTCAACAACCCTTCCTCAGCCCTCTGGACAACAGTTTTGGTAATTCCGCACCTCCTCCTAACTTCCAAACTACGAATTCTCTGCATTATATTCACACCACACATTGCCCTCAGACATGACATCTCCACTGCCTCCAGCCTTCTCCTCGCTGCAACATTCATCACCCATGCTTCACACCCATATAAGAGAGTTTGTAAAACTATACTCTCATACATTCCTCTCTTTGCCTCCAAGGACAAAGTTCTTTGTCTCCACAGACTCCTAAGTGCACCACTCACCCTTTTCCCCTCATCAATTCTATGATTCACCTCATCTTTCATAGACCCATCTGCTGACACGTCCACTCCCAAATATCTGAATACATTCACCTCCTCCATACTCTCTCCCTCCAATCTGATATCCAATCTTTCATCACCTAATCTTTTTGTTATCCTCATAACCTTACGCTTTCCTGTATTCACTTTTAATTTTCTTCTTTTGAACACCCTACCAAATTCATCCACCAATCTCTGCAACTTTTCTTCAGAATCTCCCAAGAGCACAGTGTCAACAGCAAAGAGCAACTGTGACAACTCCCACTTTATGTGTGATTCTTTATCTTTTAACTCCACGCCTCTTGCCAAGACCCTCGCATTTACTTCTCTTACAACCCCATCTATAAATATATTAAACAACCACGGTAACATCACACATCCTTGTCTAAGGCCTATTTTTACTGGGAAATAATTTCCCTCTTTCCTACATACTCTAACTTGAGCCTCACTATCCTCGTAAAAAACTCTTCACTGCTTTCAGTACCTACCTCCTACACCATACACTTGCAACATCTGCCACATTGCCCCCCTATCCACCCTGTCATACGCCTTTTCTAAATTCATAAATGCCACAAAGACCTCTTTAGCCTTATCTAAATACTGTTCACTTATATATTTCACTGTAAACACCTGGTTCACACACCCCCTACCTTTCCTAAAGCCTCCTTGTTCATCTGCTATCCTATTCTCAGTCTTACTCTTAATTCTTTCAATAATAACTCTACCATTCACTTTATCAGGTATACTCAACAGACTTATCCCCCTATAATTTTTGCACTCTCTTTTGTCCCCTTTGCCTTTATACAAAGGAACTATGCATGCTCTCTGCTAATCCCTAGGTACCTTACCCTCTTCCATACATTTATTGAATAATTGCACCAACCACTCCAAAACTATACCCCACCTGCTTTTAACATTTCTATCTTTTATCCCATCAATCCGGCTCTGCCTTATCCCCTTTCATTTTACCTACTGCCTCATGAATTTCCCCCACACTCACAACTGGCTCTTCCTCACTCCTACAAGATGTTATTCCTCCTTGCCCTTATACACGAAATCACAGCTTCCCTATCTTCATCAACATTTAACAATTCCTCAAAATATTCCCTCCATCTTCCCAATACCTCTAACTCTCCATTTAATAACTCTCCTCTCCTATTTTTAACTGACAAATCCATTTGTTCTCTAGGCTTCCTTAACTTGTTAATCTCACTCCAAACTTTTTTTATTTTCAACAAATTTGTTGATAACATCTCACCCCAATCTCTCATTTGCTCTCTTTTTACATTGCTTCACCACTTTCTTAACCTCTCTCTTTTTTTCCATATACTCTTCCCTCCTTGCATCACTTCTAATTTGTATAAACCTCTCATATGCTAACTTTTTCTCCCTTACTACTCTCTTTACATCATCATTCCACCAATCACTCCTCTTCCCTCCTGCACCCACTTTCCTGTAACCACAAACTTCTGCTGAACACTCTAACACTACATTTTTAAACCTACCCCATACCTCTTCGACCCCATTGCCTATGCTCTCATTAGCCCATCTATCCTCCAATAGCTGTTTATAACTTACCTTAACTGCCTGCTCTTTTAGTTTATAAACCTTCACCTCTCTCTTCCCTGATGCCTCTATTCTCCTTGTATCCCATCTTCCTTTTACTCTCAAGTGTAGCTACAACTAGAAAGTGATCTGATATATCTGTGGCCCCTCTGTAAACATGTACATACTGAAGTCTGCTCAACAGTTTTTTATCTATCAATACATAATCCAACAAACTACTGTCATTTCGCCCTACATCATATCTTGTATACTTATTTATCCTCTTTTTCTTAAAATATGTATTACCTATAACTAAAGGGCTGCCATTATCATTTAAAACATGTTTTGTTAAAAACCATTTATCTCTATTCTCTCCTATCTGATGTACACAAGCCTGCTGGATGCTCAAGAACCTAAAATTTAAAACCTCCTTTTAACCCATCCCTCTCCCTCCAGCTGTTCCTGGGATGATCCCCAACCCCTCCTTCCTTCAACCCCAGTTTTATACACTGTCTTCATCAATTATCTCTCTCCATCCTTTCTACATGCCTAAACTACTCAACCTCTCCTCAGCACTTGAATTTATACCTTTGTTGATCTCCACACCACCTTTTAATTTCTACCCCTTTAAATTCTCTGCATAATATTCACACCACACACTACTCTCAAACATGACATCTCCACTACTTCTAACTTCTTCCTCTCTCTAAAATTCAGAGCCCATGTGTCATACCCATATAAAGTTTTAGTACTATTATGCTCTCATACTGTAGTTTTCACCAAGTCATGATCTAATTTATCAAGTTACCCTTCAACACTCCCAAACACTTTCTTGATAGCTGCAACAGGACCCATAGCCTCAATACCAGACACAAAAATCTCTTTAACATTTCTCGTGTCCGGCTAAATCTCTACAAAAACTCAATGTACATAAAAGGGCCTAAAATCTGGAACTCCCTGCCCGAAAACTGTAGAACTGCAGACTCAACCACCATTTTCACAACTACCGTTAAAAAACGTCTGATCTCCCTAACACACCTCATCATCAGCTAACTATGTAAAAACCACCTATTCTCTTTTTTCTATCATGAATACATCCAAAACAAAATAGACTTACTTTTGTTATCTGTATTTCCCCCTATTTTACACTTACACTCACCCAAATGACTGTAAATAAAATTCCTAATTTAGCTATTGCTATTTGCCTGAAATACTCTCCCAATATAGGAGCTTTTATAGAAACAGTGTATCATGCCAAGATAAAACCATTCCCATTACTAAATTTACTAATTGTAATATTGTTATATATTTTGTACTACCTCACTATTACAAATCTGTTACGTTGGTTTGTCCCTTATTACCTTGATAGTAAGGTTCTCACTACATGCTCTAGTGTGGGGTAGCTTTTACTTAATGGCCTTATTTGTCTAGGGGTAATACTTACATCATGGCTGATCATCTTGAGTGTCTCTGATACCCTTTCACCAGCCCTCTTCACAGGTTATGTAAACTACTACTATAAAAATATAACTGTATTCTCAATAGATATGTACAGAATATACAATCACAGCCTCCATTTTCAAAACAAAATCTACACACTCCATGCCTGTGCTCCACATGGTGTGTTGCAACAACTCTTGTCCTTCACTCTTCCTGACATAACTCTGGGCTAACCAGTGTTTTGACACACTTTAGTCACCCTGGGTATGGTGGCCAAAACTTAAATTATAAAAACTCACCCCTGGAGCACACATGATGCCCCAAAAGATAGGAGAAGGACCCAGAGATCCTGCCAGGTTGAGGGTCAGCCACAGAGAGAGAGAGTCAGTGAGAGGGAGAGAGAGAGAGAGCCTGGCTAAGCTCCTCCCACCAAAACAAAAGACTGTTGCCAAGCACAATTCTCCAGTTACCACAATTCTACCACACCTTAATTTTACTTTTACAAAAAGAAATACAACTTTATAAACTACTTATTTAAATTGTGTGTTTATGTGTCTATAGTATAACCTATTATATTGAGAAAAATAGGCTTGACCCAGCTGCCTCTCAGTCAAAAGGTTGATCAGTCCTTCTGACATTTAGAGCAAAGTCCCCATCAATTCAATATAATTAGGTATTCCAAAGTAACTGTTACTTATAAATACATGTTGGGTCCTATAGCCCCATAACACCCCCACCTCCAGACGAAGTCTCACAAAAGCTAGCCATGTCCC